AAACGAGATGGAACTACCCTGGAGAATACCGACATGGGGAAACAACATGGGGTTGTGAATGAAAGAGAAGGGAATAGGAGGGGGGGGAGAGGAAGAAGGGGGAGAGTAAAGGAAGGGGATGAGGAGGAAGAGGAGGAGGAGGAGGAGGAGGAGGAGGAGGAGGAGGAGGAGGAGGAGGAGGAGGAGGGGGGGGGAGGGGGGGCGGGGAGAAGGTGGAAGAGGGTGGGGGATAGGAGGGGTAAATGATAGGAGGGAGAGAGGGGGGGGGGGGGGGGGGAAAGGGAGGGGGGGGGGCGGCGCGCGGGGAGGGATTATGGGGGGCATCAGTGAGATGTGGATGGCAATGAGTCAGAGTAATGAGCGCAATTTCGAGGTATCCAAGGTGCAGTGTCGCTGAGGCGCTTCCGCGAGGCCGAGGCGCTTACGCGAGGCCGAGGCGGCGCGTGTGGAAAACGACAAGGGTGGAAGGGGCGGCGCGGCGGGTGGTTGGAAAGGCGGCGAGCGACTCACTCTGCGACTCGCGAATGGGAATAGCGTCGCTCGACCGCACTGCGAACGCTGTGAACAGGGATGCGGCTGCGACGATCGCGACAGACGACTGCTTGAGTCGCACATGGTGGTAACTGGCGAACCAGCCTTGATGTCGCGACGCGTCGAGAAGTCGCAGTGTTTCGCGACGCCGCCGCCGCAGTCCCGTTCGAATTCGCATTCGCCAATGAACGCCGCCAGGTAAATCACACTTCATGTCTACTACTCGTGTAGGTCTGACAACTCTCTACTAACACTCTCGTGTGTACGTGCGGGGTCGCCAGCACTATTGCTGTTGTAGAGGCTTCTCCTCTACTTTGCAGGAACTGGGATTGGTACTAATCAGTAGAGCTCTGTCTTAGCTTTCCAACGGGCCGTAGATCACCCCGATCGCCTACGTATCGAGCGAGATATAGGCGTTTATGTGCTAGGTAGTGCTCTTGGAATCAAGGAGAGGAACTCTCTGGATTTTGTAGTCGAATGTATCACATACAAAGTGATTCTCGATTTCAGTATATGCCATGCAATACAAAGCAAACAAATTTGTATGAACTGCAATGCATCGAGTCGCACATGTAACCTCGAGTCGATACACTCTCGAATGTTCGAGTAACATTTCGAAGGGGTGAAATTCGGAACTCGAATTTCACCGAATCGAATTCTCCTTCAGTCTCGATTCTTCTTGTGCTGCCATGTGGCACCGAAGTGCAGGTTCTTCCGAAGTCAACCCATACTTCTTGGAACCTGCAACACATTCATGAAACTTCCAACTTGCAACTCACTCAACCGTGAGCACTAGAAGGAACACTTTCAGTGGTTGGGGGCAATCCTTGCCTCACGCAACCTCCAACAATTGCGAGATAATCATGATTGGGCAGCGTTGCGCCGCGCGGCTACTAGGCAGTCTCCAGATGGCATTGTCTTTCCATTCCCGCCAATTTCATCGATTACTAGCGTGTGGTGTGGGACGCGCTTCGGGAACCGTTGAGATGCCGAGAGAAGTCATTCCTGGAGTTACGAAGAAGCCACACGTATACAAGTGAGTTATACAACTTTCTGGCACCACAACCTCGTAACAACTTCAAGCCGTTGGCGTGAGTGCAAAATCGCCCAAGGTAAGAGGTGTCGCATCGCCGAGCCTCGCTAGCCGCTCAATTGACACGCGCGTCTACAGTGTTTAGGCAACATTAGGTTTACTGTATGACGTGGCAGGTAGGTGATCTCGAACAACCACCCACAGTCATAGGTTGCAAGTTAGCTGCACTCGAAGGAGACTGTACAGTACACGGGCGACGACGAACCCACCACTACACAACTCCTAGTTGCATGTCGTATCAGCGTGGTCCAAAAAGTGGGGCGACCAGAGAGCACAAGATGTGGAACTTGGGCGCTTCGTCCAACCTCTGTCACTCTTCAACGAATTTCAGCGGCTATAGTCGCAAACAGTGGTTACAGTCGCAGGGGGGACGAATACCTTGTTCATAAGAATTTACCACGCCATTACATTACAGAACGACTTTTACAATGTGCCAGAGTCGTTCGCGCAGAGATTCGGCGTGTCGCCGAGGGTTCGGCAGGGAATTTGTTCACCCTCCGTGACCCATGACCGTGAGCTGTGTTGTTTTTGTTCCATTCGTTCACCCTCCCCTTACCTCCATCCCCTAGGCTCGGGTCTTCCCTAGACGGTCCAGATTTTCCGGTTCGATGCGATCTAGTCCGTTGCGCATCGGTCAAGTGCTGTAGTCGTACCATTCTCCAACACAAAAGAACAGCGAATTTAGTAAGGTCTTCGTCTAGCGCGGTGCAAGACGATAAGTCACGTTTGTGAACAATTCTCATTCCAGACAACCACATAGATTGGCCATAGTTAGCAGGGTAGTGCGACTCGTGAGCTGAATCCTGCTCCCAACTCTTTTCCGCGTGCAATGGCTTGTCCCATCAAACAACCATACAGACAAGTATAAGTCTGGAAGGAAGGTGGCTCAAATCAATGGCGGATCGAATACTAGTACTACAGGCAGGCCTTACTGTTTTCTCGATAACACAAAAACATGCTGTCAAATCCTGCTGCGTTCTCGGGCGACTCCTCAAGTTGCGTTAGAATACACACCATACCCTAAATTTAGTCCGCGTTTCCGTCACCTTTTAGGTTCTCGTTCTTCTGTGCGTTCAATGCGCCCTGGCTCGAGGCGTGCGAAACACGCCGCAGAGAAAGAACAAACGGATGCTTGGCGGCAACTAGACCAGGGACGACCAAACCGCCTAATTCCAGACTTCTCCGACAAACATTCTGACATTTGAAACGTGGCGGCAAACTCCACATCACAGCACTTCCCAACATCACGTGACGTGCGTCCTACCATGCTCAGAGGTGGCCGCATTAAGCCAATGATGCCGTGTCGGCGCCCCCGCGACACCGCGCCGCTTGTGAGACGCTTCAAAGGGCCGTCTAGATATGTCTTGGCGCGCAATGCCCGTTGTGGAAAGAGTGTCGCCGCGTCTCCGTTTGTCAGTTCGATTGCGCGAAGGGCTGTCAGGCCCATGATACAAGCAGTACTACTTAAACGAGTAGAATTTCCAATAATAGAAATCGATAGACTTGTGCGATCGCGATCTGACCCCGGGTCGTTTTCAGAGGCGAGCGCGGCGAGTGCGGGGGCGAATGCGAGTGCGGCGGCGAATGCAAGTGCGACTGCGAATGCGACGGCGGCGGCTGCGTCGCGACACACGGCTGCGACGTCACGACGCGTCGCGACATCATCAAGGCCGACGGTTCTCCAATTTCGACGTGCGACTAGAGCATTTGTAGTCGCCATCGTCGCAGCGTGCCTGCTCGCAGCGTCTGTAGTGCCGTCGAGCGACGCCATCCCGATTCGCGAGTCGCAGAGTGAGTTGCTCTCGCCTATCTCATCCTACTATCTCATCCCCCGCCTCACCCACCCCCCCCCCCCCCCCACCCCCCCCCGCCCCCCCCCCCTCCCATCCCTGTCATTTTTCGACACCCCACCCTGGCATCGCGGCTCGGCCTTGCTGCGGAAGCGCCTCGAAGACACTCGACTGTCGCATTACCTTGAAATTGCGGCGCGGCGCGGCAGGCTTTACGTGGCGCGGCGTCAGGAACGGGGCAAACGTGCGAAGCAACCCCTTTGCCATCTATTCTTTGCTGATAAGCATTCCGCCCCATCCCAATCCGCCACCCAGTTTCCCCGTCTCGATATTCCCCAGGGCTTCGAGTGTGATTCTAAGCCAGCGGCAGGCCGTGCATAGCGCGTCAGAGTAGTCTTCCTCCAGAGTAACTCCGCGCAAATCGACCCCCTTGCCATCTAGTAGTCTTCCTCCAGAGTAATTCCGCGCAAATCGACCCCCTTGCCATCTAGTAGTCTTCCTCCAGAGTAACTCCACGCAAATCGACCCCCTTGCCATCTAGTAGTCTTCCTCCTGAGTAACTCCGATCGATCGCTTCGAGCGTGATTCTAAGCCAGCTGTTGCTGCAACCCTACGGTTTGCACTCGGCTTGTTGTCCGTGTGCGTGAATGTGTGTGTGTATGGAATGGTATGAGGGCATGGGATAATATATATTTCATGCTTATAATTGTGTGTGAATGTTGAGTCATGATGTCGAGTGTGTGTGTCGAGTCAATAGCGAGTTATCGCTAGACGCGTGTTACGCGGTCGTTTGTGTCTCGCGCGCGGTTTCTATTTTGTCGTGCGCGGTTTCTATTTTGTCCTGTGTCGAACGTTCGGCGTGTCGCAGGTGTGTGCAGCAGACCCATCAAGAACTCAAGGATGAGTTTGTGATGAAGAGCCCGAGCCTTGGTGTCAAGCCTCAAGTGATTTCGAAGCTCGCCAAAAGGGTACACCTCAAGATATTGAAGATAGTTACATTACTTTGTGTAGTGTAACATTTCACTTGGTGTAGGCCCTAGTGAAGGGTAGTTTCGAGACCCTTCGTGGTTGGGGACAGTGTGGCACTGTTCCACATCACTGTACCTCGGCTCTTGGGGTTTGTAGGAGCTGGGAGTCATTCCCAACTCGTAACTCTTCCTATCTTGTGTTCTAAGACTATAGTGGCTGCCATAGTACCGTTCGTTCAAACCGACGCTGTGTCGTCAATTCTTTATCAAATCGTGCAATCTAAATTGATAATTGTAGACGACGTGAAGACGCTCCAGATCCAATTTGAATCAAGTCATTTGCAGCTGTGAGCAGAACGCTATCAACGTTTGAAGCCGCTGTGCAGAAATCCGTCTGTGCTCTCTATCTTTCGTTTTAGGCACATTCAAGCCTATTGTGACTATAACACCTGCGGCAGTCCGTGCAAGAACCGCGTCAAGGGGACGGGCAAACGCCCAAATTCAACCCTTTTGCCATCCCACCTTTCGCCAATGAGCATACTTCCGCCATCCGCCTAATCCGCTGACGAACATCCATTCCCGCCACTGTATTGTTTCCCCCATTCCGGTATTCCCCAGGGGCCGCTTTAAGCGTAATTTTGAGCCAGTCCGTGCCTTCCACGTCAGGGGGAACGGGCGGTAGCGCAGCTGGCAATGGGACTAGCGGAGGCGGCGGGCAGGGGCAGGGGGGCGTTGAGGTGGAGGAAGATTGCGACCTTATAATGGAGATAAAGTGTGACCCGCAGGGATACGTAAAGTCACTGTACGTATAAAAGTGTTCGTCCTCTGCATGGTTGTTTCTTGTTTGTTTTTATTTTTGTTTTTTTCTTCTTCTTCTTTCTCTCTTTCTTCCGTATTGAGTGTAGCCCGGCTTGAGATACACTTCTTTCTCAGAGGTCGACCCTGCCTGAGCTCTGAGCTTAGGCGGTACACCTCAGCATGCGTGCATCCTGATAAAAGTTGGGTTTTATCACGTATCTCTAAGCTTAGGCGGTACACCTCAGCATGCGTGCATCCTCGCTCGCCCGCCCAGGAACCAACCCTCCCCGCCCAAGCGTGCGTCCGTTCATTCTCACCACTTTCACTGACGCTTCTCCACTTCCTTACCCTTCCCTCCTGTTCCATCTCTCCTCCCTCCGTCTACTTCTTTTCCTCTCTGGTGCACCACCCCCATGCAGCAACCTCAGGTCCATGCTCTCTCTCCCTCAGGAGGTTCTGTCCCTCGTGTGCCTGCAATCACTGTGAGAAATCCATTCATTGCGCTGCATTCTACCACTCACTGTTCCCTCTCTTCCCCCTCTTCTGCACTCTGTCTACCTGTGCTGTACCCCTCACTATTCACTTCCCTTGCATTTGCGGCACAATCCTTTTTTTGAGATGTCCGGACATTCCGTTCCTCACCTTAATCTTCATGGATTCTGCATGGCATGGCGCTTTCTCTGCTATTGGTCACCCAAAAGGCCCCTCGAATCTGAAACTGTCTCCACAAGTGGGTTGCTTCTTTCTCCGTCCTACCCACAGCCAGCCGCAGGCCAGCCAGTTCCTCTGACATCTCATTCGGCCATCTCACCTCTCACATCTCATTCGCCCGTCTCACATCGCATTCGGCCATCTCACCTCCCTAACCTTTTCAACCAGCTCAGCTTAGATTCAAATCTGTCTCTTCCGTATTTCCTCTGCTCCCCTGCTCACAGGAGTCTCGCTTCCACCACCATTCCGCCCATTCGCATGCCAAGCATTCCCTCTATCATCGGCCAACTCACCTCCCTCACTTCCCTGTACGATCCCTCCTCCTCAGCCCATCTGCTTCACTGTACGCCCAATCACACTACGTTCTCTGCAAGCCGCATCGTTGTAAGAAAGAACTCAGAGCTGCAAACACAACGGCTCTACTGCTGCTGCAGTATATGTGAATGTTCACCAAGAACCCTGAAATTGCTGGTAACTTCACTAAAGTTGCCTTAAACATGCACAGCCTACTAAAGTTGATGGAAGTAAGGCCTCCGCAGCCGACCTGTCCGTTGTTGAGAAGTCCTGCTGCTATATACTTGAGTGAATGTTCACCAAGAACCCTATGGTGCTGGTAAATTCACTTCACCTCCTCACCTCCTCATATCCTCAGACACTCACTTCCTCACTTCCTCATCTCCTCATCTCCTCATCTCCTCACCCCCTCAACTCCTCATATTCTCATCTCCTCATCCCCCCCCGGCCATTCCCTGCGTCTGCCAGTCCCTGCCTCTGTCATTCCCCGCATCCGTATTCCAACTCAAGCAACTGAAATTGTTCTGAGGCTGTTGTTCTCGTTCACGCGTCACCCTTGTGTGCGCCTCTCGTTTCCTCCCCCTCTCCACCGCCTTCACTCGCAGGCAGATTTCCAACGCAGTAGCAGGGGGGTCATTCCCTGCATCCCTGTCCCGACTGAAGCAACTCAAATCACTGTAAGACTCAGATAATTTGCCTGTCATGCTCAAAGCGCTCTGAACGCAGGTCGAATCAAACCAATGTGAGGTGATGCATCCCGTGATTGCTGTCACGCTCGCTCGCACCTTCTCTTCTCTTGCCTACTATGCTCATCTATGCCCATCTGCTATCCCCTTCCGATTCTCTTCTCCCATAAACTGCACCTCTCCTCTCTTCTGACTGATGACACCAGGAGCCTAGCCTGGAACACTGTATTGACTTTAAAAAAGTCTCAGATTTGAGCGCCGTACCTCTAATTTCCAAATGGTCACGCTAGGAGCCTGAAATACTGGATTGAATTTTCAATATTCTCAGAGTCACAACCCTCCTGATCTGAATGCTGGCACCGCCAGACCTAGAGGGCACTACCTTGTCAACCCCATTCTCCACTTCTATAAATTGAGTCGACTCAAAATGCCCATCTCATCTAATCTGATCTGATCTGATCCGATCTTATCTGATCTGATCTTCCTTTTTCCTCTCCCATCCGCGCTCCTCGCCTCAAAATGCTGGCACCACCAGGAGCCTGGGAAACACTACCTTGTCCGGCACCATTCCCCACTTCTTCATTTGAGTTGCCTCAGAATACCCATCTGAACCTCCTCTTTCCTCCCCCATCCACCATCCCCGTCCGTTTGAACGCTGCCACCACCAGGAGCCTGGGCGGCACTACCTTGTCCGGCACCATTCCCCACTTCTTCTCCTGCCTCACTTCGTTGACACGCCTGTATGTGATTCTTTACAATTAGAGTTCCATTCCATCTCTTCCTGCCACTCCTTTGGTTCTATTGTCATGTCATGAGCGCTGTCTCTCGTCCACTTTTGGGAATTCTTAAAAACTATCTTGATTCCCTATTCATTCAACTGTCACATCATGTGTAAATCTCCTTGCCCTTTATGCTGCATGCCACCTTTTGAGACGTTTAATTTAAGAATCGCCGCGCTTGTCTGCTATGCTGCATGCCATTGCCAATGCTTGAGACGCCTAGAAAAGTGTCTCTCTTGACCTACCTTCTGCATGCCGAGTTGAACTCTCTTGTCCTACCTTGTGCTTGCCGAGTTGAACCAGCCAGCTTTGAGCCCCTTTTTTGGGATCTCCTTCGGGGTCACTTCTGTTTCCCTCTCATCTGATTTTTATCTCTCCTGATGTTCGTATCCCCCTTTCACTCCATTCCACTCCAACCCACGCCACCCCACTCCACACAACACCTTTCCATCACACGCTACCCTTCTCCACTCCTCCTCTCCCCGTAGGGAACTTGCGCGGGTAGGCCTCTCCTCGTCGCTGCCCACTGGCTTCTCGCGCCTCACCAACCTCATCATGCTGTGCGTGCGTCTGTGCTGTGCTGCTTGCTTCTTCAACCCTAACCCAAACCTTAGATCTCAAATCCCACCTCTCCATGGTTCCCCCCTACCTTTGCCCTCCCAACATACTTTCTTGCAGCAATCTCACCATTCTCCCCCTCCTCCCTCCCCACCTTTCACTCCTGCCCTCCCGCATTCCCCTGACCCCCCTCTTCATCCCCTCTCTGGTCCGCCCCTTGCATTCTCCATCCATTCCCCCTTCATCCCCTCTCTTATCCGCTTCCTGCGATCCCCCGTCCACTCCACTCCCATTGCACCCGTTTGAATTCCTCCCCGGCAGCATTCTTCCCGGCAACAATCTCACCGGCTCGCTCGCTCCTCTCGTTGGCATGAAGCGCCTGCAGCACCTGTGAGTCGAGTCGAGAGGCCCTTTTGAGAAAAATGCGCCATGGAGAAAGCTCGCTTCCTCCTCTTGAATCACACCATTCATCCTCTGCCATTTCTGAGGCGCCTCTCGAAGCATCCCTTGCCCCCCCCCCCCCCCCCCCCCACACACACACACACTCACTTAATTCACCCCTCTCTCCTGCAGGTGTGTTTCGATCGAGTGGACTCAAGACAATATCTCCCCTCCCCTCCCCCGCAAACCCCCACTCCCCGGCACTCAATCAACAACACCCTTCATCTTCCTACTGGATCCACTCCCTCCTTCCTGCAGGTGCCAGGTGTGACTTGACTTCACTCATAACAACCCCAACTCCCACTCCACTCATAACAATCTCTCCTCTCCCCATCCCAACCCCACTCTCCCTGGCACTCATACAACTGTACAACACCCACCATGTTCCACTTCACCCACCATGTTCCACTTGACCCACCATGTTCCACTTGACCCACCCCTCTCCCACCTGCAGCAACGGTATTCACAATCGTTTCTCTGGCAGCATCCCGTCCGGCTTCAGCCGACTTTCACTCAATCAACACCCACCATGTTTCACTTGACCCACTCCTCTCTCTCCCACGTGCAGCATCGGCATTCACAATCGTTTCTCTGGCAGCATCCCATCGACCATCAGCCGCCTTGCAGACCTCTCCACCATGTGAGCCTCTGCTGCTGCTGCTGCTGCCACCGCTGCTGCCCTGCTGCTGCCCTGCTGCCGCCCTGCTGCTGCCCTAGGGATGAGCAAGGGGCGAACTCGAACGTTCGAGTTCGCCCCCTCTCGAACATCTACTTCTGCCGAACCGAGCAGTGTTCGGTTCGGCGAACTATTTGGGCGAAAAGTGGTGTTCGCCGTTCGCCCTAGGAGGCGAACGATTTTCTGCAGCAGGCGAACACGAACATGTTCGAGGCGAACATGTTCGTGTTCGCCCAAGGGGATATTCACTATAATCAGACATGTCAGAAAACAATTTTGAAGGTTCAGGATGACAGCAAAATGTTTGCAGGGTGTATATGTGTGCATGCAACGAACCCACTACTACAACATCAAATACTGTGAAGGGAAATGTCAAAGTCTAACAAATTCCTACGCTAAGGTGCCACTGCTACTACCAACAACAGCATCCTCTCCATCAGCTGTGTCATCAGCCTCCACACCCTCCTCCTCCTCCTCCTCGTCCTCCTCTGCCCCCTCGCCCTCAATGGCGAACTCTGGTGGTGCGACGCCTCTCGGTCGGCGGCCCTCGCCTATCCTCTGGCCATGGTGTGAACAATACCATGATCTGAGAATCATGACAGCTCGCGTCCTTTGAGAGGCCAGGCGGTGCCGCTTCCAGGAAATGAGGTTGCGACCAAGGGAGAACACCCGCTCACTCGAAGCGGACGTGGCAGGGATGGCGAGATAATCCCGGGCCATGCGCCTCAGCGTCTGCATGTTGGTGGCACTGCGCCAGTACTCTAGCGCTGTCACGTCGCACCGCACCGTCTCGGACAAGTACCTGCTAACCTCGTCATCCTGCACCATCCCACCCGCCCCCGCCTCCTGGCTCGCCGACAGACGCGCCGCAAGTCGTCGGCGACTAGGGAGAAACTGCGCGTCATCGTCGTCATCCGCCTCGTCTCCCTCCTCCGCAACAACGGGGGCAAGTGGGGTCAGCCGTGGAGCAAGCTCTGCAGCCCGGGCCTGGTACTCGGCCACGCGGTCGCGCACCAGCTTGATCACCTCGCCAGACGCCGGACGCGGCCTCACCCTCCTGTCGGTCTCGGGATGCAGATTCTCCTAGTGCGCGTCGTCGAACTACGCCGCCTTCATGGATGGGTCCAAGAAGGTGGCGATCCAGTACTCGTTGCTGGTGATGTAGGCGTACTTCTTCAAGTGGCTCGGCGCCGCCACAATCATCGGCTGCGGCGTCGGAGATGGCCCCTTGGCAAGGCGCGACTCCATGGCGTCGATCAGGCCGTTGTAGTACGGCACCACCATCGACACAGTCGGGTACGCCGCCCCCTCGGCTGCCTTGGAGACCTTGGCGAAGGGGCTTAGGAATGTCTTCACCGCCTGCAGGGTCTCCCAGTCTGCGTCTGTCAGGCGCAGACTCTCCACCTTCTTCTTGTCGGTCTTTGACAGGCCCTGTTGGGTAGAGGGAATGGTTTGGGGGGAGGTATGAGGGAAACTGTGATTATGGAGGAGGATTTTGGCATCCGGCCGACAACATACAAGCTTGACCAACAATATTGTGTAGACGTGCTAACACACCACACCATGACATAACCACACACTACAACAACCCACACCAAACACATGTGTTACCTGTGTGTGGGCGAAGAAGACAGTGATGGGGTTCCGCAGAACAGCCGCACGCTCGACCATGTCGTGGGTCGACTCCCAGCGCGTAGGACTGTCTTGCACCAGCTTCAACGCCGGCTTCGGCGTGGCGGGGTTGGCCTGCGAGTTCAAGATCCGCTGTAGGCCCAAGAAAGACCCCGAGCGTTGTGGAGAGAAGCCAATCCACGACGCCATCTCTCTCAGTATCTTCAGCAACTTCCGTATGGAATCCACAGCCAGTGCTGCCTGCACTGCAAGGTTTATCACGTGTGCCAAGCACCTGCGCAAGGAACACAACATTAGGGAAAGAGATAAGGAGAAGTTGGAGGACACATGGTTAGAGCGAGCCACAAAACCAAACAAGACCACACACAACCTACAATTCGAACCGCACCAGCCCACCCCTCCATACAAACAAATTGTCCATGATGGAACGACACACCCACGTTGGCAAACACACGCCCACACTCCCGCACACCCAACTCACGCACACTCCCACACTCACCGAAAGTGCATGCGCGAGTTGAAGAAGCACTGACCACCACCCTCCTCCGACATCCGCCTGAAGGCGGCAATGTTGCTAGAGGCGTTGTCTGTCGTGAAACCAAGACAACGCCCCTCCAACCCCCACTGCACAATCGTCTCCTCAACCACCTGCGCCATCTCCCTGCCCCCATGCCGCCCGAGCATCTCACGGAACTCAAGCACCATTGTGCGCAGCTGGAAGTTCTCGTCTATCCAGTGACCTGTCACCACTAGCCATGCCTTGTTGTTGGGTGCCGTCCACATGTCGATGGTGATCGACACCTTGCACCCCAACTCCCCCTCCTTCGCCAGCATATCCGCAATGGCGGACTGGAGAGCGGCTGTTGCATAGACCACGGTGTCGCGGGATACCGTCTAGCGCGAGGGGATGAAGTTCTTCTGCGCGCAGTTGCGGTTTAGCAGGATCAATAACCCTCGAAACTGGAGGAGGGTAGAGTAGAGACAACGAGGGAGAGGGTTTCCAACGTCAAGGGGATGGTTTTGAGACAAAGTGGCACACGATTACAATAGTATAGAAGCATCAAATAGTCAAGACTTGGCATGTGGCCACCCATCGACGTAGCCATCCAGCACACCCTTGTAGCCCCCACGAGGAAACGTCTCCCCGGGCAAGTGAACGGAAGGAGTGTGGTAACGGTGATGCCACACGAGCATGTGCGCTGTGTGGTAGCTCTCGAAGTGCCGCTCGCCGGGTGTTGTTGTGGATTGCTTCCACGAAATCTTGTCAGTGCAAATCTTGCACTAACGCTTCTCGTCTGCCCCTTTAGACCCGAACATCTGTACTTGCCACCCCGGTTTCTTATTACCCTTGCCAGTCCCTTTACTACTCTCGGACCCTCCGTCCTCGTCTAGGAACTCCGTAGCGACCACACCCTCGCCCAAGAGCTTCCCAATGAATGTGCAGGGATACGCTCGCTCCCTCAACTTGTTCGCCCTCTTCCTCCGCTTCGGCCCCGCTATGGACGCCCGCTTTCTCCCCACCTTAACCCCCACGCTCCCTCCTCCTTCAGCCACATGCTGTGAGGCCGCCTCTGTCGCCGCCCCTCCACCACCCTCTCCCACCCCCTCCTCCACCTCCTCTGGCTCCAACCCATCCATCTCATGGTCCTCCTCATCATCCCCCCCTTCCCCACCGCCATGCGTCTCGGGAGCCCACCCGGCCTCACTGTCATCCCCGCTCCCCTCATCTTCCTCATCCTCCTCGCCCTCACCCTCCTCCTCCTCATCGTCCTCCCCACTGCCGCTCTCCGGCTGCGTCTGCCCAGAAGGAGGGGGTCGCGGGCCTGAGTAACGGAACGAGTGACGGGACGTCGGCGCCGCTACGGAAAGAACCCCCCCGACGAAACAAGCGCCGGCTCCTGCAGGTCCATCCCCTACTCGCCCCTGCATAGGTCGTGGTGGAGAACCCGGTGTACCGCCCTGAGCGCTGCCTCCACCTCGTTCGACAGTTCTATGTTGGCCGGAAGCCATAAATCCGCCCTCGGCCTTAAAACCCTAAAACCCCAAAGAAACGGTCGCAAGCCACGGATAGCACGATCCTAATTGAACTCCTAGTTACGTGTGGCACGGAGAAATGCCCGCCCCTACAACTAGAGAATTGACCTCTACGAAATTGATCCCGTAGCTACCAACCCTTAGTGTTTCTGAAATTACCCTACACTACTACGAACTACTTAGTCGAAATGTTCGTGTAATAGTTAGGGAATGGTGTGCGGTGGCTCTTAAAGGGATGAAGCCTATGGCGGTTGTGAGAGGGAGGGCTAAGCGCCAAAGTCGTTTTGAGTTTGAGCTCAAAAAATGAGCTCAAACTCAAAACGGCCGCGACCTAAATTTGTTCGCGGCCAATTTTGACGCGAACACTTTGGTGTTCGCGTCAACCCCAAATCGAACACGAACGTGTTCGTGTTCGTCCACCCTTCGCCAAATGGAGGTGGCGAACGGCGAACATGTTCGGCCGAACACCGAACATGTTCGCCCCGAACTAATTAGTAGAAAAAAAAAATTGTTCGGTTCGCCTCGAACATGTTCGAGGCGAACCGAACATGTGTTCGAGATTTTGCTCAACCCTATGCTGCCCTGCCACTGCCCTGCTGCTGCTGGTGTGAATGTGAGTGGCTGCTGTTGCTGTTGGTGTGATTGTGGATGCCTGCGTGTGCTGCCTCTGGTGTGAATGCAGAAACCTGTGCTCTTTCCTTCCTTCCCCTCTACTCTTTGCCGTTCCTCTCCTTCGCTTCTGCCCTTTCTCCATCCTTCTCTCCCCCATGCCCCACCTCAACTCCCCTCCCCAGCTACCCAACCCCAACGTCTATCTTCCTTCCACCCTGCCTCCCCACCTTTCCTCACCCCTACCGCTGTTCCAATTCGCTCGCTCGGTTCTTTCTCCTCCCCATGGCTGGCTTAAGCCAAGCATGCAAAAGTCACCTCTGTTCTCCCTTTCCCCACAAGGCCAGCCCACAAGGCCTTCCCCAAGGCCAGCCCCCAAGGCCAGCCACCAAGGCCAGCCCCCGAGGCCAGCCCCCGAGGCCAGCCCCCGAGGCCAGCCCCCGAGCCCACCCTTCATCATCCATATCCCTGCCTACTGCCTTCCTCCCGTTCCTCTTTCTCCCCACCCTCAATCTCCTGCCTGCCCCCTTTCCCATTCCTCTTTCCTTCCCAACCTCAATCCCCACCCCACTGCCGACCCCAGCTGGCTGGACAACAACACCATCACCGGTTCCTTTCCAGCTTCCATCTCCAAACTCCAAAACCTCGACTTCCTGTGAGTCGGTCTGTACCGCTCATGTATTGTGCTGTGCCCACTGCCCACTGCCCACTGCCCAGTGCGTGCAGTGATGTTCCTTCCCACCCTCCATCTCCAAACTCCAAAACCTCGACTTCCTGTGCGTCGCTTCAAGACCAGTTCTTATGCTTCGATGCTCTGACTCTGTCACCCATGTTCAATCAGCACTCACCACTCACCACTCACCACTCACCTCACCACTCACCACTCACCTCACCACTCACCTTTCCCCTCACCACTCACCTCACCACTCACCACTCACCACTCACCTCACCACTCACCACTCACCTCACCACTCACCACTCACCACTCACCACTCACCACTCACCTCACCACTCACCACTCACCACTCACCTCACCACTCACCACTCACCACTCACCACTCACCTCACCACTCACCACTCACCTCTCACCAATCACCTCTCACCACTCATCTCACCTCTCACCACTCACCACCCATTGCAGGGGCATGCAGTTCAACCGGCTCACAGGCAGTCTACCGCAAGGCATGGGAGGGCTCTCAAGCTTGCAAGGCCTGTGAGTCTTCAGTTGCAGTCTACTTTTGAGGCGCCTCAAAAGTAGACCACAAGCCATGGGAGGGCTCTCAAGCTTGCAAGGCCTGTGAGTCTTCAGTTTCAGTTTTGAGCTTTCAGATCAGACGCCTAAGAACGCAACACCTGTCAGTTGCGAGCCACGTGAAATGAGGGTGTTTTTTAGACGTCTCAAAATGAGGGTGTTTTTGAGAGTGCTTTTGAGACGTCTCAAAAACACCCTCATTTCACGCAGTTTTGAGCTTTCAGACGCCTAAGAACGCAAGAGGCCTGTCAGTTGTGAGTTGCAAGGATAGAGAGACCTCCGCAAGCCACTGGGGAGGGAGGGGGGCCTCTCTAGCCTACAGAGTCTGTGAGTTTTGAGTTGCAAGGACTCAATAGAAAGAAACCACCTCAAGCCATGAGAGGCCTCTTTAGCTTTCAAGGCCTGTACAAACTACCTCTCTCCTCTCGCCGTTCCTACTACTCCCCTTCCTCTCGCCATCCTATCTGTTTCTTTCGAGCTAACCTCTCAACCAATCCTCTCCCTCTCTCCTTTGTGTATCAGCCCACCACAGTGACCTCTCACACAACAGCATCTCAAGCTCACGCCCTTTAACCATGGGCATATTTTTTTAGTATGTTCCCCTCGAATCGAACCACCCTCTCAAACGGTGCTTTGCTCCCCCTCTCCCACTCTGTTCCCCCTCTCCCACTCTGTTCCCCCTCTCCCACTCTGTTCCCCCTCTCCCACTTTGTTCCCCCTCTCCCACTCTGTTCCCCCTCTCCCACTCTGCTCCCCCTCTCCCACTCTGTTCCCCCTCTCCCACTCTGTTCCCCCTCTCCCCCTCTGTTCCCCCTCTCGCCCTCTGTTCCCCCTCTCGCCCTCTGTTCCCCCTCTCCCCCTCTGTTCCCCCTCGTGCGTCCTCCTCTTCTATTCACCCACCACAGTGACCTCTCACACAACAGCATCTCAGGTCAATGTCCTTTACCATGGACATCGGGCTATCTCCAGCTCAGGACCATCTTTTCCTTTCAGGCTATACTCTCTCGAACAGTACTTCTCTCCCTCTCTCCCCTTTGTCCCCATGTGCATCCGTTCTCTATCCACCCACCACAGTGACCCCTCCCACAACAGCATCTCAGGCTCACTGCCGTCTACCACCATGAGCATTGGGCAATCTAGTTTTGAGACGTCTCAAAACTGGCTCACTGCCGTCTACCACCATGAGCATTGGTCAATCTCAAGCTTCTCCCATCTGTTCCTCAAGCTAACCTCTCAAACGGTCCTCTCCCTCTCTCCCTTCTCTATCCGCCCACCCACCGCAGTGACCTCTCACACAACAGCATCTCAGGCTCACTGCCGTCTACCATGGGCAAACTGAGGCTTCTCCTCCCATCATCTGCTGTGTCCCCTCCAATGCTGCAGGTACCTCTCCCACAACAGCATCTCAGGGTCACTGCCCTCCACAATGGGCAAACTGAGGCTTCTCCGCTCCATGTACGCCCCCTTCACTCTCCTTTCCTGCCCTACCTCTCTCACTCCCCTTTCCTGCCCTACCTCTCTCACTCTCCTTTCCTACCCTACTTTGTTCGGATCCTTCCTTTGAGTCAGTTAAATTATCCGAGGCTTCTCCACTCCATGTAAGCCTCTTTCGTTCCCCATGCCTACAACCTACCTAACGTGTTTTAAGGACTTTTTTTGAGCCGGCTATACATTCCAAGGCTTTTCTGCTCCACATAGGCCTTCACCACTCTCCTGATCTACCCGAATTTGTTCAGTTGCTTCCTTTGAGTCGTCTAGAATTCAGAAGCTTTTCCACTCCATGCAAAACTCTTTCGTTTAGGGATGAGGAAGGGGCGAACACGAACATGTTCGTGTTCGTCCCTACACGAACACATCCGATTGCCGAACCGAACACTGTTCGGTTCGGCGAACACTTAAAGCAAAAACACGTGTTCGCCGTTCGCCTGTGAAGGCGTGTTCGGGCGAACCTCGAACACGTTCGTGTTCGTCGCGGAGAAAATTGCAGCAGCGGCCCGAACACGAACGTGTTCGGGCGAACCTCGAACACTGTTTGGCGAACACTTTAAGCAAAAAAAACACGTTCGAGGCGAACCGAACAGGTGTTCGCCCTTGTGCTCATGTCTACCTTCACTCTCCTCACCTGCCTTCTTACTTTCTTCGGTTCCTTTCTTTGAATTAGCTAAAATATATGAGGCCTTTCAGCTCCATGCACGTTTCTTGAGGCACCACAAAACCTCTGAGGTGCCTCGAAGCTCCATGTTGAGTCTTACCAAAATCAAATTGAACCAGAAAAAAGACTCACTTGACTACTCTTACCTACTGTATTTGTCTTACCTTTTTGTAAAAATTACTGAACTCATGCAATATGAGTCTCCCTAAATTAACTCTTAGCTACTTTTTTACGCTATGCTCCGTGTAGGTCGCCTTCGCTTCATTTACACGCCTTCTCTATCTCCAGATGGACAGATGGAAAAGTAGTTTTGACCCAGATCCAATCAGATATAACTCGTTCTAATCTCTTCTGGGCTGAGCTTAGGCTAGTAGGGATTGAGTAGGTAAGAAACATGTCATTCAAACCTGAGCGTACACGCGTTTCGGCCGATGGCCTTCGTCAGATGGTCTCGTCCAATTCAAGTCTTGCATGTGTTGTATGGCATGTGATGGCATGGAGAGGCACAACATCTGTCATGGCATGGCATGGCTCTGCATGGTATGACATGGGATGATATGCCACGGCATGGCACAGCATGGCATGGGATGATGATGGGATGGCATGGGATGATGATGGGATGGCATGGGATGATGATGGGATGGTGACAGACATGGCATGATATGGCATGGAATGGCATGCATGGCATGGCATGGCATGGTATGGTATGGGATGATGGTATGGCATGGCATGGCATGGCACGGTTGTTGTGTGGCACGTGACGGCATGGCAGGCGAGTTGACAACAACAGCATCACTGGATCCATCCCTCTCTCCTTCTCCTCCCTCACTTCACTCTTGTTGCTGTCAGTCCCTCACCACACTCTCCTTCCTCTCACACCCTTTCACTCCCCATGCTTCATTTAGTTCTCTGTGCTGAGAAGCCCCTTGCACCACACCACAGGGTACCTCTGCACCACACCACAGGGTATCTCTGCACCACACCACAGGGTACCTCTGCACCACACCACAGGGTACCTCTGCACCACACCACAGGGTACCTCTGCACCACACCACAGGGTACCTCTGCACCACACCACAGGGTACCTCTGCACCACACCACAGGGTACCTCTGCACCACACCACAGGGTACCTCTGCACCACACCACAGAGTACCTCTGCTCTGCACCACACCACAGAGTACTTCTGCTGCCCTTGCATGCACCACCACCCGCCTTGCACTGTGCTTCCCGTCCCACCCTCTCCTCGCTCCGCTCCTCACTTCGCTCCTCACTCCGCTCCTCACTCCCTTCTCACTCCCCTCCTCACTCCACTCCTCACTCACCTCCTCACTCCCCTCCTCAGCTCCATCCAGCACAACGGGCTGCACGGGAGCATGCCCTCCTTCCTCGCCGCCTTGCCACGCCTGCAGCTCATGTGAGCACTGCTGGTTTAAATTGCAAAGAAGTCAAGACCCACCAGGACAATAAGCCATACCTCTTTGTCGCCTTGCCACGACTGCAGTGCTTGTGATGTGACCATCCAGTGTGTGAGGCTTCAAGTGTGTGAGGCATCAAGTGTGTGAGGCATCAAGTGTGTGAGGCATCAAGTGTGTGAGGCATCAAGTGTGTGAGGCATCAAGTGTGTGAGGCATCAAGTGTGTGAGGCATCAAGTGTGTGAGGCATCAAGTGTGTGAGGCATCAAGTGTGTGAGGCATCAAGTGTGTGAGGCATCAAGTGTGTGAGGCATCAAGTGTGTGAGGCATCAAGTGTGTGAGGCATCAAGTGTGTGAGGCATCAAGTGTGTGAGGCATCAAGTGTGTGAGGCATCAAGTGTGTGAGGCATCAAGTGTGTGAGGCATCAAGTGTGTGAGGCATCAAGTGTGTGAGGCATCAAGTGTGTGAGGCATCAAGTGTGTGAGGCATCAAGTGTGTGAGGCATCAAGTGTGTGAGGCATCAAGTGTGTGAGGCATCAAGTGTGTGAGGCATCAAGTGTGTGAGGCTTCAAGTGTGTGAGGCATCAAGTGTGTGAGGCATCAAGTGTGTGAGGCATCAAGTGTGTGAGGCATCAAGTGTGTGAGGCATCAAGTGTGTGAGGCATCAAGTGTGTGAGGCATCAAGTGTGTGAGGCATCAAGTGTGTGAGGCATCAAGTGTGTGAGGCATCAAGTGTGTGAGGCATCAAGTGTGTGAGGCATCAAGTGTGTGAGGCATCAAGTGTGTGAGGCATTCAAGTGTGTGAGGCATCAAGTGTGTGAGGCATCAAGTGTGTGAGGCATCAAGTGTGTGAGGCATCAAGTGTGTGAGGCATCAAGTGTGTGAGGCATCAAGTGTGTGAGGCATCAAGTGTGTGAGGCATCAAGTGTGTGAGGCATCAAGTGTGTGAGGCATCAAGTGTGTGAGGCATTCAAGTGTGTGAGGCATCAAGTGTGTGAGGCATCAAGTGTGTGAGGCATCAAGTGTGTGAGGCATCAAGTGTGTGAGGCATCAAGTGTGTGAGGCATCAAGTGTGTGAGGCATCAAGTGTGTGAGGCATCAAGTGTGTGAGGCATCAAGTGTGTGAGGCTTCAAGTGTGTGAGGCATCAAGTGTGTGAGGCATCAAGTGTGTGAGGCATCAAGTGTGTGAGGCATCAAGTGTGTGAGGCATTCAAGTGTGTGAGGCATCAAGTGTGTGAGGCATCAAGTGTGTGAGGCATCAAGTGTGTGAGGCATCAAGTGTGTGAGGCATTCAAGTGTGTGAGGCATCAAGTGTGTGAGGCATCAAGTGTGTGAGGCATCAAGTGTGTGAGGCATCAAGTGTGTGAGGCTTCAAGTGTGTGAGGCATCAAGTGTGTGAGGCATCAAGTGTGTGAGGCATCAAGTGTGTGAGGCATCAAGTGTGTGAGGCTTCAAGTGTGTGAGGCATCAAGTGTGTGAGGCATCAAGTGTGTGAGGCATCAAGTGTGTGAGGCATCAAGTGTGTGAGGCTTCAAGTGTGTGAGGCATCAAGTGTGTGAGGCATCAAGTGTGTGAGGCATCAAGTGTGTGAGGCATCAAGTGTGTGAGGCATCAAGTGTGTGAGGCATCAAGTGTGTGAGGCTTCAAGTGTGTGAGGCATCAAGTGTGTGAGGCATCAAGTGTGTGAGGCATCAAGTGTGTGAGGCATCAAGTGTGTGAGGCTTCAAGTGTGTGAGGCATCAAGTGTGTGAGGCATCAAGTGTGTGAGGCATCAAGTGTGTGAGGCATCAAGTGTGTGAGGCATCAAGTGTGTGAGGCATCAAGTGTGTGAGGCTTCAAGTGTGTGAGGCATCAAGTGTGTGAGGCATCAAGTGTGTGAGGCATCAAGTGTGTGAGGCATCAAGTGTGTGAGGCTTCAAGTGTGTGAGGCATCAAGTGTGAGGCATCAAGTGTGTGAGGTATCCCTTCCAAGAAACCCTTAGACGCTTTGACGGTCCACCAGCGGCATATCCACGCCAGTCCGGCTGTTAACTAATGTGATCTGGAAAACTCAACCCTCTCCATGTCCCCCTCTCTCCATTTCCCCCTCCTCAATTTCCTGTTCTATCCATTCCCCCTCTCTCCACTCCCCTCTCTCCATTTCCCCTCTCTCCATCCCCGTCACCCTTTATCCATCCCCATACTCCCACTACTCCCCCACCATTCGTCCACCCACCACCCCCTCTCTCCACTCCATACACCTCCTCCCCACCACCAGCTACCTCAACAACAATAGACTCAATGGCACTCTGCCAACCAACTTCGCAAGCTTCTCAGCCCTTGAAGTCCTGTAAGCCTGTCTAGTCCTGTATGCCTTTCAAGTCCTGTAAGCCTTTCAAGTCCTGTAAGCCTTTGAGCTCAATGGCTCTCTGCCAACCTTGTAATGAGGTGGCTTTTCAGTCAACTCAAAATTTCGTCCTTCTCCTTTCGATTTTATTGCAGTTTGCTTCTGAACACATATCCTGCAGAGTCGACTCAAAAGTCACTCTCTCACTCCGTCTCACTCTCTCCTCCTCTTCCCTATCTTCACAGGAGCCTCTCCAACAACCTGCTGCACGGCCGGCCATGTGTGTCATTGTAACAACCCGCTACAACTCTCCCCCCCTGCCCTTCCCATTCCTTCCCTCCCAACCTTATATCCACAGGAGCCTCTCCAACAACCTGCTGCAGGGCCGGCCATGTGTCATTGTAATGAGGTGACTTTTAAATCAACTCAAAATTCCTTCCCCCCTTCCTTTTCATGTCTCCCCAGAACCCTCTCCAGCAACCTGCTTCAGGGTTGCCCAATGAACCCATCGGGCAGGCAATGTTCGAACATCTGTCTTCTTCCGTATCACACTTTCCCTCA